TCAGTCTATGGGTCGGTTGGCCTTTGGCTGGCTGCCTGCCTGCCTACCGATCGACTGGTCCTTGGCTTGTACCCTATCATTTGACATGTGACTTGCTCCCATTAGATCAAAAATATTTTTCTTGTACAAATATAGAAGATTTAGGGGGTATGAATCTAAAAAAATAAAATTTTAGTTTTAAATATGTAAATAAATAATAATTGAGTGGTATAAATCAAATTTAAAGCCGCGAAGCGTCAAGAATTTATATAATCATAAGAAATTGTAAGTGTAAATTATTTAAATGTTTTTCTTAAATTTAAAATGACGGTTTTATTCAAATCTTGAACTCTTATGATTAAAAATAATATGATAAATAGTATATCAAATCTAATTTTGATATTCTATAATTCATACTCTTTAATAAGAAATAAAATATTTAATTTTTTTTGGGCATTTACATATATACCAACCAATTCTTATGAAAGTACATATCTAGCCCCACATTTAATATTTACATTTTAGTCCACCCAACTTTCTTATATTACATCAAATATCACTTTATTAACTTTGAAATAGTGAAATGCACATTTTTATGCATAGGTAAGTGGCATATACTTGCAAAAAATTAATGTTTATGAGTTAAATATGTAGATACACAGGAAATAAGGGGTATATATGTAAATTTTCCTATATATTTATTCATAAATATAATTTTTTTTTTACACAAGGAAATAATTTATTTATTATACTCAAATGATGATTATATTACGAGAAAGAATCTTATTTTGAGTCAAATTCAAGCCACATGGCCTTAAGTATTTTTCCTAAACATATTAAGGCAATTAATTTTAGGAGCATTTACATGAATACCACCCATTTCCTATGTATTTACATATCTATCAACTAACTTTGGTTTTTACACTTCTACCGCCCACAATTTTCATATCTTATGAATAAAATAACACTATTTTAAGTAAAAGTCATCCTTTAATTATTATAAAACTAATTAATATTTATGAGAAATTATTTTATTATGATTATTTATAAATAAGCCCTCCCTCTTCTGCAGTCTTTGGAAATAATTCAAGGGTTTGGATTGTACAAAAAAATAAATAAAATATTGTGTAATTTCCACATTACTTCTCATCACTTTCGATTTTAAGATTATTTTTATGCCTTCATCTTCCAACCAAATCTGATATTATATTATAATTGCTCCACTAAAAAAAAAAAAAATAGAAGCTTATTGTTGCAATTATGACGGTAAAGTGATAGTTTAATGTCATAGCATTAAACGAATATCTAACACATACAAAAAAAAATAAAGAAAAATATAAGGAGATATCCAAAACTAGCAGGCCGCAAATTCATAATTGATTTCTATGAAGGTAGTAGTATGTCACAAATATTATACACAGTAGCTATAATAGTATCAGCTTGTAGCAGAGGGCGTAGTTGAAAGTTGTAGTATTATTTGGCCACATAGGTCGTAGTTGGTAGCTTCATAAGCGTCTGTTAGCCACAAAGGCCATAATGGGAGGCTGCAGGGACAACAATTGGACATATAAGTCGTAGTGGGTAGCTCCAGTAGTAATCAACCACATAGGCCATAATAAGTTGTTGTAAGAGTGTCAGTGATATGGTGTGACACATATACCATATCGGGGCAGATGCTGAATCGAAGCGAAGCGGAGCAGAAGAATCTGTCCAAATCGAGAAGTTACGTTATGTGGGTTGGGGGTGCTGGTTTAATGTCCTGCTATACGGTACAAGGGTAATTTGGGAATTACATATTGTACTGTAGGGTTTACTCTAGGATTATAAATAGACATGTTTGTAATCCTAGGTCTTTGAGAGAGTTGAATCGTGTATTATGTATTCTTTTCTGAATATTGAAAAGGAAGTCGCCGCTCTGCTCCCGAGGATGTAGGCATCTTTGCCGAACCTCATTAAATCTCTGTGTTCTTCTGGATTTGTGTCGTTCTAGTTTTTCTTCGATCTAATTTTCTCAACAAGTGGTATCAGAGCCAAGTTCGAGGGCAGGTACGAAAAATTTCAGCGGCGCGCAGGGGAGATTGTCCGCCGAGGAAGCAAATCGTCCGCGAAGGAGGGCTTTGCGGCAGTTCCGCGAAGGGGGCTTCGACGATTCGCGGAGGTGTTCTGTTCGGCAGAAGGTCTTGGTGTGCGATCGGCTTCGGGGAATTAGGCAACGCTGCGGTTCGGACGACTCGACACTGGAAGGACGGGGTTTCGGTACAACATTAGAAGAAGAAGAGTTCGCGAGTTCGCTGTACAGCAGGAGAGTTCGCTACTTCGCAGCTTCGGTACAACAGGAGAATTCGCGAATTGCAAGAAGTCGCGATTGGCGGCGGCAAGGTTCTTGCGGAAGGCTGCTGGGCGAAAGGGAGGAAAGGAATCTTTCCTTCTATGTGTGGATCTGAAAATGAGGATGTTTTGCAAATAAAGGATCAGCGCATTCGTGAAAGGAAGGTTCTCTTGGAGAAACTGGAAGGAATCTTCCAATTTGTTTCCTTTGTTGGTTCGATCCGTTTTCTTTGGAGACTGCGGAGAAGAAAAAGAAAGGAAATTAATAAATTCTTTTCCCGCTGAAGAAAGGAAAGTTTTTGAATTTTACTTAATTAAAGGAAAGTTGTTTTTTAATTAAGTTGATTTAAAGAAAATATTTAATTAAGGAAACTTAATTAAAATTTTCTTTGTTGGATCTGCGGAGGTGAGATTTCTTTTGCTGGAGGCTGAAGATGAAATCGAATTTGAAATCCAGTTAATTAAATGAAATATTTAATTAAAGGAATATTTCAATTCGTTTTCTTGGAAAGATTTTGTCACTTCTCTGGGAAACTTAATTAAGGAATTATTTAAAAGGATTTGTGGCAGAATCAAAGTACAATTTCTTGCTCAACAAGGAATCTTGCGGAGAAGAAAATTTGGAAGTATTTTCTGAATTTCTTTGGCTGGAGAAAGGAAATCTTGGCTACGGCGCAGAAGAATATAAAATTTTGTGGATTGTTCGCAAGACAGATGGGCTCGAGGGAACGAACAGGTGCGAAGCAGTTCAGATAAAGGGCTACGGCAGTTCGATGAGTTATGCTTCCGGGAGTTCGCGGTAAAGGCAACGTCGCAACTTCGAGGCGCGACAGTTCATGAACCTTCGCGGCATTAGGCGAGTTAGAGTTAGTGAACCGGAGTTTGTGTGCAGTTACCGCGAACAGGAGCATTTGCAAACATAGGAGTTTTGTGGTGTTCGAACAACGAAGTTTGCAAGTTCGTCGCAGGTGGAGTTGCGACATGTGGAGTTTGCGACAAGTGCAGTTCGGTAGGGTGCTGGCGAGCGAGCAGGCGCGATTATTCGCAAACAGTGATTTCACGGAGGTATTTCGCCAAGGGTTTCGCTCACGGAACAGTAATTTAGCCGATGTGTTGACGCGAACAGGAAAAGTGCTTCAACCCACATTTGTACATAAGAAACTCCATGATATATTTCTCCTAAGGGGCTGGATATTCGCTAGGTGGAGAATTCTCCTAAGGGGCAAGATATTCGCAAGGTGGAGATATTTCTCCTAAGGGGCTGGCTATCGCAAGGTGGAGATTTTCTCCTAAAGGGCAAGATATTCACAAGGTGAATATTTTTCTCCTAAGGGATTGGATATTCGCAAGGTGGAGATTTTCTCCTAAAGGAAATGGAGATTTTCTCCTAAAGGGCTGGATATTCGCCAAGGTGGAGAATTGTTAGGTATGACTCATAATACCAGAATTTGGAGTCTCTTGGAATGAAGAGATGTCTCTTGGAATTGAAGAGGTGTGTATCTTGGAATTTAGTGGGTTGAGATCAGCAAGGGCGCAGCAGAAGCATGGTGGCCCAACCCACATTGGTGCAGGTGTAACTCCTAAGTATTTTTTCTCCTAAGGGGCTGGATATTCGCCAAGATGAAGATTTGTTATGGTATGACTCATATACCATATCGGGACAAATGCTGGATCAAAGCGGAGCGGAGCGGAGCAGAAGAATCTGTCCAAATCGGGAAGTTACGTTATGTGGGTTGGGGGTGCTGGTTTAATGTCCTGCTATAGGTACATGGCTAATTTGGGAATTACATATTGTATGTAGGGTTTACTCTAGGATTATAAATAGACTTGTTTATAGTATTCTTTTCTGAATATTGAAAAGGAAGTCGCCGCTCTGCTCCTGATAATGTAGGCATCTTTGTCGAACCTCGTTAAATCTCTGTGTTCTTCTGGATTTGTGTCGTTCTAATTTTTCTTCGCCCTAATTTTCTCAACAGTCAGCTACCATAGAGGTCACTGTGGAAATTTGTAATGACAATAATTGGCCATGTAGGTCTTAATGGGTAACTACAATAGTAACTGGCCACACAAGTCATAGTGGGTAGCTATAAGAGCATTAGTTGGCCACATAGATTGTTTATACTCCTATGCATCCCCACTTGTCCTATGCCTCTTATGTCAATTTACATACTTTTCACTACTCTCTGCTCAATGTAAAAGATTACTCCCCTGTTTGGGTAATCAAACATAATGTGCCCAAAACTCGGATACTTGAAACTTTCTTGATTGAGATGAGTTTGGGAGTACTAATGGTCTCCACCTTTATTCCACTGGATTGGTTTTTCATGTTGGGTGAGCTTCGGTGCCCCAGTGGGTGCACTCTTGTTACTTGATCTTATGGTTAAACTTTGACTGTTATGTGGGGTGATCATCTGGTGCACTTACTGCTTCTCCACTAAATGACAATGTTATAGGGCTCCCTAAGAACAAGACCCACTTGGGAGGTGATTTTGAAATAACAAGAGAATGATAGTACGTGTAATCAGTGGCATTTGAATGGGAATCAGAGTCATTCAACAACTATCTCGACTGAAAAACAATGTGTCGTACGATAAACCACTTGTTCCTCAACAAACTACAACACACTACTTGTAAAAAGAAAATGATATAGTACTCTTTGCAATAACATAAAACCAAGCAAAAGTCTTCTCAACCAGAAAATAACAGCATCTAAATTATCTCTCAAGAAAAGAAAAATTAGGCATTTGATATGTAAAAACGTAACAATTACATGGTTCGTATGTACCTGCAAATGTAAATGTGAATCACAATGAAGAATGAAGCAAATTCTGAAGATCTTCTGTTCTTTCCATGCTGAATAATGCCTCACTATTGTTCTTTAGGAAATTGTAATACCAATGAGCTGAAAGCTTTGGAGTTCTTGGCCTTAATTCATCATTAAAATCCACATGGTAAAGTCCACAAGATGATTGGTAGCCACCCAGGTATTCAAAAACATCAATGAATGACCAAATAAAGTAGCCTTTAATATTTACTCCATTCCTGCATTTATAACAGCACTTCATCGAAATCTACCCCAAAAAAAGGGAAATTTATATTCATACCACAACAATTCCTATGAATTTACGTATCTATCACCTAAAGCTTGATATTTGCATTTATAACACATTGGTGCCATAGACCTTTGTGTTAAAATGTGTATTTCACTTATGAAAAGTTAGCGAGAGCGATATTTTTTATGCAATATTAAAGATTTGTGTGTTACGCATGTAAATATGAAAGTTTAGGTTGTCCGTAAGTAAATAAGAATTGCCCGGTGCGTATGTAATTTTAGGGGCGATTTCGTAACCCAAAACTTCCTATTATGAATTTCAATTCACGATTTGGTACTGATAGAGATTTCATTTTATTTTGCATGAAAATAAATCATTAAAGATGGAGGAATTTCACAAGTTTCATCATTTTAAGGCTCAATTTGTAGTTTTCTGCTAGAAAAGCAATTTTTAAAAGGGGCACTTATATAAATACCACACAATACTTGTGTATTTACATATATAGCATCTAAACAACCATATTCACATGCATACCACTCAAATCTTTAAAATTTACATTTAAAAAAAACACCATGACTATCTTTTAAAAACTGAAATACAAATTTTCATCCGTAAGTTTATGACACCAAGATGTTATAAGTGTAAAATATCAAATTTTGGGTGTCAGATATGTAAATACATTAGAATTGTGTGACATGTATGTATATTGCCCTTTTTAAAATGACGAGGTTTGATGGATTCTGTTATGAGATGGTTGTATGTCTTCAAATAAAATGATTTTTCACAATGATATTTAAAACATGTTTTCAAATGTGATCTTAAGGCTGCTCAGTATGCAAATGCCCAAAAAATTGTGTGGATATGCAAATGCAAAAAATTTGATGTAAATGCTATGAAAGATTTGACTGGCATAAATGTAAAAAAGTAAAGTTTAGGTGTTGGATATGTCAATATAAAGGAATTGGGTGGGTATGTATGCAAATGCTCGAAAAAAAATTACAGAAGTTCTAAGCCGAGAATCAAATAAAATACCTAATGGCTTCAAGTGTTGCCCCAATGTATCCTCTCAAGGCATCAATCCTTGCATGGTCATCAAGTGCACTCATGTTGGCTGCCTCACAGTAACCTAAACAGTGATCACATCAATAACAATACCAAAATAATTTTCATTCCTTTCCTGCTTCTCAAAATTATTATGCAAAGGCGAGTTTTATAAAATTACAATTAGGCTGACTATGATATATGCATCCGAGTGTTGCACAAAGAATAAAAGGTAAAAAAATGCACTTATTAAATGAGTGGATAAATTAGTAATTTAGAGAGGAAAAAAAGTAGGCCAAATATACCATGGATATAAGTAGTTTACAATTATTTGCAAAAGAATACTTTTTTGGAAGATTTACATATACCATCCAATTCTTATGTATTTACATATCTACCAACCAAACTTTAATTTTTAGATTTATACCACCCATTTGAAGAGGTGTATTTCACCATGAAGAGGTGTATTCTTATGCATGAAGAGATGTATTTCACCATTTGAAAGTTAAAATGGAAGTATTTTTTTTTTGTGATATGAAAGATTTGAGTGGTATAAATATGAAAAGTAAAGTTTAGGCGTTAAGGGTGGTATGCATGCAAATCCCGTTATGTTTTTCTAATAACTCAGGCACACACCAAGATGTACTAGGCTTTGAACTCAAAATCTTGTGGTAGAAGACAAAGCATCCATCAACTAGGCCAGATGAGTTGCATTGCAAAGAACATATTTATTAAAACGTCCCACCAGCAAGGAATAAATAGAAAATGATGACCCGAAAGGCAAAATGTGCAATTCGAACCCACGACCTCATGCTGGGAGACTACACCCTCAAGCACTATGACGCTGATAAGTGCGAACCAGTCCCAAAGATTTGGGACAAGCGAAGGATGATCAAACTACCCAAAATCCAAAAGATTTAACTTTAATAAAGTAAATTTAAAAACAAGGCAGGACAAGGAATAAAATAATAAATTGCAAACCATTCTCTTCAACGTAAATGGGAAAATCCCCATAGTTCTCTTTGAGGTACTCCAATAGGTACCGAAGCCCGACAGGATCCACTTGAGGGTGCGTTGGAACAAACTGGTGCAAATATCAAGCATTATAAATTTACACTTCAAACTATATATATAGAAAAAGAAAGATTTACAAACATACCGCACTATTCCTATCTTTTTACATATCTAAGTTCAATTTTTACATATATGAATCCTTACTTGAGCATAAATAGGTATATTTCACTTTTTAGAAGTTAAAATGATGCTCTTTTTTTATGTGCTATGAAGGAATTGGATGATATAAATGTAAAAAAGGAAGACTTAGGTTTTAGGCTTAGGTTTTAAGAAGATAAATACATAGGGATTTGGTGGTATGCATGTAAGTGCCCCAAAAATAAAAATTAAAATAAGTTCTTACAGTGCTATTTGAAGTGTCATTCCTGGATGCTGCAGTAAGAGAGAATAAGCATTAATGCTCAAGCTATAGTATGAACATTTCACGGCCTCATTGAAAGGAGAAAATTTTAGGTCCTGATGACAGACGTGCGGAATATGATAGCATGGATTGCATCGCACCACACTGCTGTACGTATGGCATGGTGCGATTGACACCATCATCCTCACATCTAGTCAACCATACGTAATATTTTCTCCATTGAAAGGAAAGAAGCAAACTCAACCTGTTACAATGGCAGCCATATCTGAAAAAAAATCCCGAGGAGAAATCTGGAGAATAATGGAGTTATCACGGACAAATGCAGATGTGTAGTGATTAAGACTGATGAAATCGAATGAGCCTTTCAGTAGTTTTTTCTGTGATGCGGTGAAATTGGGAAGCTTCGGGCCACAGATCTTCTTCATCGTCTCTGGATAATCTCCAAACACTAATGGATTTAATATCCTATATTTCAATAAATAGTAAATATAAGTTTTATTATATTTTCATGTTCTAGCACAAACAAAAAGGATTGTAGAGTAATGGACGAAATTTGGATTTAGTAAATCTGTAAATTTAAGATGTCCAAAATGACCGCCTGGGAGGATTTAGTTTAAAACCCACTTACATTGTCCCGTAAATCTTAATCCCAACCAACCATTAGGTTTGTAAACAATTAGACATAAAGAAAGGATATATATACAGTACACTCTAGCTCAAAACCGGCTCCGAGTCACAACAACAACAACAACAACAACAAAGCCTTAATCCCACTACGTGGGGTCGGCTAAATGAATCCTTTTTCTCCATTGCGTCCTATTTAGTGTCATATTTTCATTTAGTTCTAATAAGTTAAGATCATTTTGAATACAATAAGCCCAAGTCTTCCTAGGTCTACCTTTGCCTTTCTTAACACAAGTCGAATCTAAAACATCTACTCTCCTAATCGGATCATCAGATGGTCGACTTTTAATGTGACCAAACCATCTAAGACGACTTTCTCTAATTTTGTCCGTCACAGGAGCTACACCAACCCTATCACGAATATATTCATTTCGCATTTTGTCTCTAAGTGTAAAGCCACTCATCCACCTAATCATTCTCATCTCGGCAACACTTAACTTATTATTATGCTTCTCTTTTAAAGGCCAACATTCAG